TAGTACACTTGAATGATTATGTAGCTAGAATTAAAGGTGAACTTAAACTCACTAGTAAACATGCTTCCATGATTGCTACTCAAGCTAAACAAGTACTTAAGGCTCAGAATGAATTGCGTGCTGAATTAAATAATAGAGATGACTTTGTTGTTAGAGTGGCTACTAGAACCGGTAGAATGACTCGGGAACCTTTGAATCCTGAAGGCCACCCTAAAAGAATTGAGCAAGATTCTCATAATAATAATCTAGATGCTCCTAGTTCTTCTAAGAAGAAGAAAAAGAAGAATGATATGACTTTGCAAACTTCTAGTGAACCTAATGTAGAAATACCTAAGAATCCTAATAATACTTCTATCTATGATGCTGAAACACAATCCGGAGATGAACATGAACCTGATGATAATGCTAATAACGATGTTCATGTAGATGCTCAACCTAGTAATAACAATGATATAGAAATTGAACCTGGTACTGGTCTTGATAACCCACAATCAAGAAACCAACATTATGATAAGAGAGATTTTGTTGCTAGGAAGCACGGTAGAGAAAGAGAACCATGGGTTCAGAAACCCATGCCCTTTCCTCCTAAACCATCCAATACAAAGTATGATGAGGACTTTGAGCGTTTTGCTGAAATGATTAGACCTATTTTCTTACGCATACGCTTAACTGCTATGCTTAAAACAAACCCTTATGCTAAATATATGAAAGATATCATCACTAATAAGAGGAAAATACCTGAAACTAAGATTTCCACCATGCTTGCCAACTATACCTTTAAGGGTGGAATACCTAAGAAACTTGGTGATCCTGGAGTACCCACTATACCTTGCTCTATTAAAAGAAATTATGTTAAAACTGCTTTATGTGATTTAGGAGCCGGTGTTAGTGTTATGCCTCTTTCCTTGTACTGTAGACTTAAATTAAGTAAGTTGACACCTACTGAGATATCTTTGCAAATGGCTGACAACTCAACTGCTAATACTCAAGAATATTCTTTGGCTCCCCTTGTGTCGAATCAATAAATTTGGGTTGAGTACTCTACCCTCGAAAGTTGTTGCCATCCCCTACACTTGTGGGTTATCAGCCATCTCCTTCCTGAGACATATATGATCGTCTTCGTGAGCTCCTTCCCATCGCCATCATTTGTAGCATGGTTCGTTAAGAGAGGGAGCTCCACTTTGCGATATACCTGAGTGGGAGCCCCCCCCCCCCTTTAGTTTTGGTGCAAGGGTGCGCTTCATGGGGGAGGCTACCTCCACTCCACCATCTACTGCAGTGCTAGAATTCTTGGTGCCATTCTTGCTTGATCTTGTCTGTTGGGACTTTGAAGAACTCTTAGAAGCTGAAGCTCCTTTTTTTCTCTTCCGGCGGCCTTAGACCTTTACCAAATGGCAGATCCCCGTTCTCATCACTACAAAAAAAATACACTTCCGTGATGATACGTGTTTGTCACAGTAGGTCGCGTTTTTTGTCATGCATGTACATCCATGACGATTTTATGACATAATCAAGATAGTCATGCATGTGCTGTCGTAGAAGTATTCCATGACATTACCAAAATTATCATCACGGAAGTGTCCACTTCCATGACGATAAATCGCGCGTCATAGAAGTGCTTTCGTCAAGGGTGACCGACACATGGCATCCACCGTAACAGAACACCGCTAAGCTATCGGGTCGGGTTTTGGATCCGATAACCCGTTAATAGCCCCGACCAATGGGGATTTTCCACGTGTAAAATCATCATTGGCTGGAGGAAACACGTGTCGGCTCATCATTGGGACAGATGTCATCCACTCATTGGACGGAATGCGCCTATGATACGTCGACACGTGGCATGGCCCAACAGAGGCCCATTCCTATGAGAAGGCCGGTCCGTTTGACTTGGTCAAAAGGTGGCGGCCCGGCCCATGGAAAGCCTGTTAACGGCCTGTTCCACTACAAGAAATACGCTATCTTGTGACCTCCACTATTGGTCACTAAATGGTCATAGTTTTTCATTTGCGACCTTTTTGTGACCAAAAACAGAAGGTCAAAAGCTGAGGGTCGTAAACTGACTATAGCGACCTTCTCTGTGAGAAGGTTGTGGACGTTTACGACCAAAATATTCCTACTATGGCGCTTTGGTCACCAGCAGCCTCCCCAGTCCACGTAGGCATCCAGCGTGGCAAGCTGATGTGGCACAAGATTCAGCCCGGTCCATTTCGGTGCTTTAGATGGGCCGAGCCCATTAATTCAGCCTTTTTACTATATATTTTTTCTATGAATTTTGTCTAGCTACATGGGCCTGGCCCAACAATTTGGCCTTTTTTTATATTTTGGTCCATGGCCTTTTTAGTTTTTCAGTATATATTTTTCAATCTGGTCCCACAAGTTAGATGGGTCCCACTTGTCATAATCTCCTATATTGGTCCCACATGTCAGAAATTTGAGCATTGTTTAGATTATTTTCACAAATGGGGCCCACTAATCAGGTTTACATTTCACACGTCTTCAAATCACACAAATAATCAATATTTTAAATAGAACAGAAAAAATGTAGAATTTCTTAGGCCTGGAGCTCCTGTACATAGTCTATTACAATATGTGCATAGTGTATTACAACCCAGATATGCCTACTATTACAGTACTATAATATTTACAGTTTATTACAGTCAAACAGAACAAATCTTTGCTGCTAGGGCTACACGCCGCTTTGAACTTGAAATTTCCTAGGCCTGGAGACCTTTTGAGTTGTAGATTTTGACATTTCCACCCTGTTACATGAATAGGCTAAGAAGAATCAGAACAAATGGACCGAATATATTATCAACATTCCATTCAAAAAAGGACAGTTCTATATATAGACTGATAACACAAATCCAGCTAGTACCATGCTTTTTTATTCATAAAAGAAAATGGAGACTATGAATATGCATGAAGTGCAGGTCCTGTAACCTCACTGCAACACATTGCACCTAAAACAACAATGCCATTCTACTACCACGGCCATGCATTCAATAGGCAAGATCTAACATAACATAACATGACATCCATTCTACTAGTCAAAACACATACACTAACATGACAAACGCAGGAGAGAATAAAGGGAACCGAGAGAGACACCATCGATCTGGATTGAGTTAGCATTTGTGAGAAGGTAGATGATCACCATGGTGTGCTTGATGATGCACACGACCATCATCTTCTTTCCACTGTTGCATCCGTGTGCTTGATGATGGGGGTACCAATGCATCCAAGTAGAACAAAATATAAGAATAAGAATACGAACGAACATATAAGAATAAGAATAGGTACAGAACATGTGCAACTCTCTAAATTGATCATAGAAATGAAAACTATAAGAAAGAGTTTTCGAATCCAGGCATGTCAAATTTTAAGCACGAGAAGAAAAGATCTAACAAACCAGACCATGATCATCATGCGCATCAGGATTTATGGTTCTAGCAAAATAGTAAAGAGATGAACATACACGCAGCAAGCATACCAGCTACTACATCACCATTCTCGTGACCACAGGCATCACCATTCACTAATAATTCCCATTGGGAGATCAAACTATGCATCCAACAAGCTACAGCAATAGGGAATGCAGAAAAATTATGACTCGAGATGACGAATCAACTGGGTGCATCTCAATTTGAACAACCACGGCAAGACAACAACCGCATACTAATGCGGCGAATCAAATCTGCACGCAGGAGCAGCACCGTTCGTGGCATCCACATGAGGACGCGCAACATCAAGAACATGGCGCATGACAGCAACAGACCTAGAGATCTAGGACGGAGGGAGGGGAGCTTACACTTGCGGATGCGGGCGGCCGGGTAACCGCACAAGGAGCAGGTGCTCTTTTGGAGGTGGAAACTGCGGCGGCCGCAACGGATGCAGAATTGAAGAGGGTCCTCATGTAGCAGTAGCAGCAGCGGCATGAAGAATTGAAGACCGACCAACAAAGCCTGCAATGCAAACAGAGAGGCATGAGGAAACTGAATCCAATCACATCAAATCAAATCGAGCTGCTGCACCTTGACCTTGAGGAAAACAAACCTCATCTCATCTCATCTCAGGGAAGAATAAGAAGAAAAAAATATATGGTTGTTGCTCCATGACCATGACCTTGAATTGTTGCTGCTGCACTAGATCAAGGAAGAAGAAGACCTACAAAAAAAAGCCAGCAGGACTCAATAGTTGGAGCTTTCAAGCACTTCTTCAATTTGTGGTTTCTCAAGACAGAATAACTTTGGAGTACTCTAAACTGGAGTAGGCAGAGTAGTTATTTGCTTGATCTGAAGTTTGACATATACGATAGTGAGACATGTAAGAAGCAGAACAAGTCCAAAGCCACAACCTCAAATCAGGAACAAAAAACATGCCAGCTTGGCCATGCTCTGCCTAGAGTTATTGCAGCAAATTATGAGCACTCAGCAAGCATATATGAACATATAAATCCACATACTGGACATTTATGGCAGTTCTAGTAAAATATCAAAAGCAGGGAGAGATAGGTCAGGGAGAGATAGTTCTAGAACATGTTATTGTTAACCTTTGCAACTGAAGAAGACACAGAATAAGTAGGTGGATCAGCATGAATGAACAAGCTGAAGGGTGAGTGTCTAATGTCAAAATCTAGAGCTCAAGAGGATCCTGTGTGGATCAAGCCAAAGTGTTAAGGCTACCTTTTACATGTGGGGTATAGAAGTATTTAATATTAGCACACAAATTTAAGATCAGCTACTAGATTTGACTTGGCTTCTCCAGCAGGGGAAGACAGAACAGTTCAGATCACTTGCTTTTTTCAGACCAAGAAGAAGAAAAGCACACCAAATCATAGAGGCTCTCTGATTGGCCTTGCCACAAAAAATAATCAACAAGTCAGTGCTTCCCTTGTGTCGTACTATATGAGTATAACAGATCTGTCTAGTTTGCCTAACTGGATGCTTTCTGACCAAAAGTAACACTTACAGTGGAGCAAATATGGACAGTTTCAGACAACACTAGCATGGAAGTGGCATACACTTTGGTGAGAAGGTACTGCATGATTGACTCGTGAGAGGGCCGGGCGGTCGGATAAGGGTAATAATCTTACCTGCGACGGCCGCGATGCCCATGCCGCGGTAGCGCTCCATGAACATGTCCATGGCGTCCTTGAACACGCCCGGATGGAGCAGCAGCGCCGTGATGTCGTTGAACATGATCCCTGCACGCACCGCACCAACAACCGAACGACCAGAGCACATCAGACAGGAGGGTTATGGTTGGTTAGTAGTAATGGTTTCGCACGGAGATGGGCGGACGGGCCTTGCTTGGGGAAGTGCGGGACGACGCGGATGACGTCGGAAATGCCCTGGAGGCGCGAGTCGGCGGCGGCCGCACCGCCTTGTCCGCCCTTCTTGGCCGGCGCCTGCGCCTCCGCCACGTTGCCGCCGCCCTCGCTGCGGCTAGCATATGGAGTAGTAATGTCGAGCGTGGCGGGGTCGAGGGGGGCGAGGGAGCCCTGTAGGCGGCGGACGTCGGCGTCCAGCGCGACGGTGCGGCGCCGCAGCGCGTCCTCGTCGGCGGCGACGCACGGCGAGGGCCGCCACCGTGTCCCGCAGCTACCGCGCCTCCTCGGCCGCCGCGGAGCAGGGAGCCGTGGCGATGTTCCAAGATTTGGCGATGGGATTGGGCTCGTTGCGGTCATGGCGGTGCACCAGCCCGTCGAGTTAGAGCAGGAAACCGAGGCAAGGGAGGAGGAGGGAGGTGGTGGCGGCGATCTGGCAGGGGAGGGGAGCAACGAGCCGGGACAATCTGGATCTGCGAGGGAAGGGGCGGGTGGCGGCGAGGGGAGGGGAGGTGGGAGGGATCTGCGTGCTAGGGAGTGGATCGCTAGGGTTAGCCGAGAGAGCGGAGGGGTGGATGGACGGACGGATGGATGGATGGATGGACGGATGGATGTTTGCCATGTCACTGATCCATGCCACAGCTGGTTCCACCAATCAGAATTAAGCATTTTTTGTTTTTTTTAATATAGTTTGTACCCTCTTATTCAGGCAAATATTTAACCTCTTATAGTTAGTTCAAATAAACCAATATTTTGTACATGTGTGTATTTAGGCATGACAAACAATGTTGATTTGGGAGGTTTTCATTTTCTTTGCTCAAAAGAACCATTTTTCATTTTCTGAGTGACCAAAATGTGTTTTTTTGTGAAGGACCTACCATATATTTCTTGCAAAATTGGACCAAATAAATTTTCTAAAATACTAGGCCATATTTAATGCACAATTGATCAAATGGTTGGGTGTAAAAAGTTTTAATCCACCTCTGGTAAAAAAGACAAATTTCCGCCGATTCAGCTGGAAGCGGGTCAAATTTGAACTGCAGTTGCCTCATAGTTTGCTATTTATTTTTTCCAAAAATCATTTCTAGGTACATAAGTATCTATTAATCACAGAAACATCAAAAGTTTTCCAAGATTCAACCACTAGCTAGGAACGGTCAAGCCTGCCGTTTTGACTGCATTTTGAAACGGGCATAAAAAATTCATAGAAAATCAAAAAGTTGGAAAACCTTCGCATTGTGTCATTATATGTGACTAAGTTTCCAGGAAAAATAATAAACTTGTAATACGGAAATTATTTTTAAAAAGTGTTCTCATAAATGAGCTATCATGCGTGAAGATTCATGGCTTTCAAGCGAAATGATCAATCTTATGGCCACATTCATGGCATAGTTTGTTCAAATGATCTCATATAGTGCACAAGGGTGCATATTGGAATGGCAAACAATGTTGCCTAAGGAAGTTTTCATTTTCTTTGCACGGAAAATTAATTTTCCATTTTCTGAGTGCCTGAAATGAGTTTTTTTTGTGAAGGACCTACCATATATTTGTTGCAAAATTGGACCTAATCAATTTTATAAAATACTAGGCCATATTTAATGCAAAATTGACCAAATGGTTTGGTGTAAAAAGTTTTGATCCACCTCTGGTGAAAAAGACAAATTCCCGCCGATTCAGTTGGAAGCGGGTCAAATTTGAACTGCAGCTGCCTCATAGTTTGCTATTTATTTTTTTCAAAAAACATTTCTAGGTACATAAGTACCTATTTAGTCAGAGAAACATCAAAAACAATCCAAGATTCAACCTGTAGCTAGGAACGGTCAAGCCCGCCGTTTTGACCGCATTTTGAAACGGGCATAAAAAATTCAAAAAAAATCAAAAAATTGGAAAACCTTCGCATTGTGTCATTATATGTGACCAAGTTTCCAGGAAAAATAATAAACTTGTAATACGGAAATTATTTTTAAAAAGTGTTCTCATCAATGAGCATCATGCGTGAAGATTCATGGCTTTCAAGCGAAATGATCAATCTTATTGCCACATTCATGGCATAGTTTGTTCAAATGATCTCATATCGTGCACAAGGGTGCATATTGGAATGGCAAACAATGTTGCCTAAGGAAGTTTTCATTTTCTTTGCACGGAAAATTAATTTTCCATTTTCTGAGTGCCTGAAATGAGTTTTTTTGTGAAGAACCTACCATATATTTGTTGCAAAATTAGACCTAATCAATTTTATAAAATACTAGGCCATGTTTAATGCAAAATTTACCAAATGGTTTGGTGTAAAAAGTTTTGATCCACCTCTGGTGAAAAAGACAAATTCCCGCCGATTCAGCTGGAAGCGGGTCAAATTTGAACTGCAGCTGCCTCATAGTTTGCTATTTAATTTTTTCAAAAATCATTTCTAGGTACATAAGTAACTATTTAATCAGAGAAACATCAAAAAAATTCAAGATTCAACCACTAGCTAGGAACGGTCAAGCCCGCCGTTTTAACCGCATTTTGAAACGGGCATAAAAAATTCAAAGAAAATCAAAAAATTGTAAAACCTTCACATTGTGTCATTATATGTGACAAAGTTTCCAGAAAAAATAATAAACTTGTAATACGGTAATTATTTTAAAAAAGTGTTCTCAGAAATAAGCTATCAAGTGTGAAGATTCGTGGCTTTCAAGCCAAATGATCAATCTTATGGCCACATTCATGGCATAGTTTGTTCAAATGACCTCATATCGTGCACAAGGGTGCATATTGGAATGGCAAACAATGTTGCCTAAGGAAGTTTTCATTTTCTTTGCACGGAAAATTAATTTTCCATTTTCTGAGTGCCTGAAATGAGTTTTTTTGTGAAGAACCTACCATATATTTGTTGCAAAATTGGACCTAATCAATTTTATAAAATACTAGGCCATATTTAATGCAAAATTTACCAAATGGTTTGGTGTAAAAAGTTTTGATCCACCTCTGGTGAAAAAGACAAATTCCCGCCGATTCAGTTGGAAGCGGGTCAAATTTGAACTGCAGCTGCCTCATAGTTTGCTATTTAATTTTTTCAAAAATCATTTCTAGGTACATAAGTACCTATTTAATCAGAGAAACATCAAAAAAATCCAAGATTCAACCACTATCTAGGAACGGTCAAGCCCGCCGTTTTAACCGCATTTTGAAACGGGCATAAAAAATTCAAAGAAAATCAAAAAATTGTAAAACCTTCACATTGTGTCATTATATGTGACCAAGTTTCCAGAAAAAATAATAAACTTGTAATACGGTAATTATTTTAAAAAAGTGTTCTCAGAAATAAGCTATCAAGTGTGAAGATTCGTGGCTTTCAAACCAAATGATCAATCTTATGGCCACATTCATGACATAGTTTGTTCAAATGACCTCATATCATGCACAAGGGTGCATATTGGAATGGCAAACAATGTTGCCTAAGGAAGTTTTCATTTTCTTTGCACAGAAAATTAATTTTCCATTTTCTGAGTGCCTGAAATGAGTTTTTTTTGTGAAGGACCTACCATATATTTGTTGCAAAATTGGGCCTAATCAATTTTATAAAATACTAGGCCATATTTAATTCAAAATTGATCAAATTGTTGGCTGTAAAAAGTTTTGATCCACCTCTGGTGAAAAAGACAAATTCCCGCCGATTCAGCTGGAAGCGGGTCAAATTTGAACTGCAGCTGCCTCATAGTTTGCTATTTATTTTTTTTCAAAAATCATTTCTAGGTACATAAGTACCTATTTAGTCAGAGAAACATCAAAAATATTCCAAGATTCAACCACTAGCTAGGAACGGTCAAGCCCGCCGTTTTGACCGCATTTTGAAACGGGCATAAAAAATTCAAAAAAAACAAAAAATTGGAAAACCTTCGCATTGTGTCATTATATGTGACCAAGTTTCCAGGAAAAATAATAAACTTGTAATACATTAATTATTTTAAAAAAGTGTTCTCAGAAATGAGCTATCAAGTGTGAAGATTCATGGCTTTCAAGCCAAATGATCAATCTTATGGCCACATTCATGGCATAGTTTGATCAAATGACCTCATATCGTGCACAAGGGTGCATATTGGAATGGCAAACAATGTTGCCTAAGGAAGTTTTCATTTTCTTTGGACGAAAAAACCATTTTCCATTTTCTGAGTGCCTGAAATGAGTTTTTTTGTGAAGGACCTACCATATATTTGTTGAAAAATTGGACCTAATCAATTTTAAATACTAGGCCATATATAATGCACAATTGACAAAATGGTTGGGTGTCAGAAGTTTTGATCCACCTCTGGTGAAAAAGACAAATTCCTGTCGATTCAGCTGGAAGCGGGTCAAATTTGAACTGCAGGTGCCTCATAGTTTGCTCTTTATTTTTTCCAAACATCATTTCTAGGTAAATAAGTATCTATTTAATCAGAAATACATGGTTTGATGGCGAGATATCGAGGTTTGGACGGTGGCCGAGGGCCCCAACTCTACAGCGCATACGGTCGCATGCCGCCGCGTGGTCACCGCGTGACCGTAGTGTTGCCATGCGTTCTGAGCGGCCTAGGCATGTCTAGTGGGTTGGGCACTCCCCAGGTAGGTGCTAGGAAGAAAATTATAACATAACATTCTCATGAGGAGATCGAACTATGCTCAAACATGAATTAGCAGCCAAGTGTTTGATTAGCGGTACGGGAAATGCACATGGTCAATGGGCATGAGTTTTGGCTGAGGATGATCATATACTAAGAAGAATGTCTTCACAAATTTTTAGGGAAATCAAGAATATATAAATAACACTTCCTTCACAAAGTGCTGCTCTGAACAGAATAGGAAAATGAATATTGTTGAGTTATTTTTGAACTAAGCAAGGAAGGTTTTTGACAT